TTCATCATGTTAATCACTTCAGTCCATGTGGGGAGAGCTCATCTTTTAAGGGACACTAGAGTGAAAGCTATTAAAGTATGCTCTGCTTCTAAAACAATAGTATATACTTACACTAGGGCAATTAAAAATTGTTGTTGTTAAGATTATTTAACATGAGATCTACCTACTTAAATACTTAAGTGCTCAACATAGTATTGTTAACTGTGGGCATGATGTTTTATAGCAGATTTCTAGAGCTTATTCACTGTGCATAAGTAAATTTTATACTCATTGAATAGCAACTCTCCATTATCCCCCTCTTTCCAGCCTCTGGCAACCACCATTCTACTACTACTTCTCTGAGTTGGACTATTTCAGATACCTTAAGTGTAATCATGTAGTATTTGTCCCTCTGTGATCGGCTTATTTCTTACAGTACAATCTATTTTGTTTCTCAGGTCTTATGACTAACCACTTTAGGAGGCTCTCTCTGCTACCAAGGAGTTTCTCCTACTTCTGGCCTCCCTATCCCTCACATTCTGTAGGAAGCAGTCTTTCTTTGATCTAAGATAGTAGAATTTAGTTAGTACTCTAAATCCCAAATTGTTGGTTCAAACCATTCTTTATGAATTGTTATTAGCAACTGAATATGCTTAATTAGAACTTCCCAGTTGAGTTGAGCCAAAGAGAACTTTGGCTTCAGAAAAAAAAATGTGTACAAAATTCTAGGCAATTTCAGAAGGGGAAAAAGGAATGCAGAAGTTGCTTTCTATTTACAAGAAGTAATCATACTGGGAGAATAATGAATTTTCCAGATTAAAATACATTTTATTTATAGCTTACCATTCACTTGTGTGAGCTTTAATTCTGGAGATGTTAAATAATACTGATCACAAAGCATCTTTGAACACTCAAAGGCATCTGGAATAGAAGATTTTTTATAACAATGACATGAATTTGTACCAAGTAAAATTTTCAATTGATCTTTAGTGTGTGTAGTAGCAAAGGATCTTCAGAACAATATTTATTAAAAAATACATAGAACACTTGGAATATAAATTCACTCACCAAGTCACCTTAACTATAGATATGTTAGTCATATAGTGTACATTTTCAATAAAAGAAATCAGAAATCCAGAAATTACCTTCGACCACTGCTACCACATCACATTTTGGATCAATGCTTCCAATGTGGCTTGGGTTTCCTGTCTGGGAGTCACTAAATATAAGAACTGTAAAAAATTTAAAAAAATTTTATGCAAATCAGGATGATAATTCAAACTACCAGTAAGAGAGAACATCACCCACCGAATAATGAAGCATCTAATTAAAGTGTGGCTTATATTTTATACCCACATCCATATCTCATGACCACAATGAACTAACTTACTGTGCTGGTTCATCAGCATCCGGGTAGAAATACGGTTCATGTAAAATCGATCCAGGAAATACTGAAGATTTTGATTGGTGATTGGATCCACTGTACAGGCATCTTTATACTCTATGATTCCTTGTGCCATTGTAGGAACTACATTGTGGTGTCTATTTCGAACTTTGATGAGAATATCTACAAAACTAGCCCAAAACACATTTACGGTTAGTGAAGTTCAAATAAATTTCATTCATTTATGCTCCTTAGATTACTTCAAAGAAGGCTAAAGCATTTTTTTAAGTACCTATCTAAACAAACAATAAAATGCTTGGATGAGGCTTTGTTAAGGTCTCACTACAGATTTGACTACAGTAGAGGAGATAGTATACACGGATTTATTTTGCCTCTAGCTTACATGTGAAAATGCCAGCTTAGGTGACTGGTATATTCATTCTAGGTGTTTATTAAGCCTTTTCTTTGAAAAAAAATTTTAAAATGAATTAATCTCGAAGTTGATTTCAGAATGCCTTGTGAAAAAAAACTTTCAAAATTTCCTGTCAGATTTAGAAAAAATTCTTATTCTTATAGCTAGAAAGTTCAGCTACTCTGAGAGAATTGTTTACTCTCCCAATGATACTCATATGTATTAGTGTTATGTAATAATATGTAAATCCTCCTGCAAATAAATCTAATCATTTGACCAAATGGATAGTAAAATAAATTTCCTTAAAAAAAATCCTCTGAACTTGTTCATACTCAGTATCATTTTCAAAGCCATAATTCTTTATCATTTTTTGAAAAAACCAACAAGCCCAAACTGGTAATTTTCAGGGACTAATTATTTATTATTCAGGATTGGAGCTCCTTTAATTTAGGTCCAAAAAAATCTTAGGGATATGTCTGGAAATAGTCAAAGTTTCCAACACTTGTTCTAATGCACAGAACTTACTCTGATAATGCTTTCTGGTCCTCTGGGCTTCTCTCATGGAATTCCACCAAATCCATCAGGCTCTGGATGTACCTGGAAAGTGACAGGTGTACTTTTCAAATTATTTGAAACAAGAAAGCAAGTATCATGTTTAAAATCAAAACTTTCCTACAAGATATTTAGAGAATAGTATGTCTAAAAAGAAGAAAGCTATGTTTACATTCTAACTTTCTAACAGAAAATTTATGTTTCTTTAATTCTCCCATATTCCATTCTGTTTTGTTTGGCAAATGTTTTCATTTTCTTACAGCAAAGGCATTTAGAAACAACTTTTTAAGAAAGTCTTCATATTTTTTCTAACTATATTCATTCATAGGTGAGTAGAAGTCTCGAAAGCAGCAAATCTTTAATAAGTATATAATACATTTATTTATTGACTTAAAGAAGAAAAAGCTGTGCAGTCAGTGGATTAGGGTGAGGCTCTGGCGAGTTATCTGCCTCCCACACCTCCTTTCTCTGCTCTCTGAAAATCTACTCTCTTGAGTTGTCTGTCCTTTCTAAGCCTCAGTATTCTTATTTGCAAAATGAGACAATAATAATATTTATTGAGTGTCAGCTATGTGCTGTGTACTGATCTAAGTGGTTTTTTATGGATTACCTCATTTAATTACACTTAAATATCCTTCTGAGGCATATACTTTATTCTCATCAATAACAAATGGGGAAATTGAGGCACAGAGAATTTAAGTCATTTGCCAATTATTCCACATAGAGGCAGAGGCAGGATTTGAACTCAGAGCCTGTTCTGTTAATTGTTTGTAAGTAACAAAGATGAGGCCCTCTCTAAATAGTAGTCATTCCTGTCTATTTCTAGGATAGGATTCTTTTTGCAAGATCAAATGCTGTCTTTTATTATTTAAAATACAAAACTAAAGTTGTAACTGTCAATTACTTTTATATTTCTTCTAGAATAAAAACTGTATTGTGAAAGGATCCACTTTTTCCAGGGGAAAAAAAATGTGTCTTTATAGATTTATAACTGCACTTATGATGACTTACTCTAAAGCAGTTAAAAAATACTTTAATCTCACAAAAGTATTTACTGCTCAAACCACCTGTTTTCCAATTATGATGTTAATACTAGAATTCATACTTAGATAACTGTCTTGACAGTATCCACTGTTTCAGAATAGTTTCCCACTTACCAGCTTTTAACTAATTGCACTGAAGAGGTGTTTACTAATGGATCTGGGAGGATATCAATTTCCTTCAGGATATTGGCTAACCTCACTGGCAATTCTTGCCGCAAAAATGTAAAAGATGTTCTTTCACATGCATTTTCTGAACCTGTAGTAAATAACATTTATTTAGTTTTTGGAAAAAATATGTCTAAATGATACATTTGAATAGCATGAATTGTTCAATCTATTGAACACACACACATATATAATAACATTGCATTTCACCCTCAGATTACTGTTCATAGATATTTTGTTTCTTTTTTCTTCTTTAAAAACGATCAAAATAACAATTGTTTTCTTTTTTTGAAGAGGATTTGCTTAGTATTCATAAAAAAGTGCCAGACTCAGTCAACACAACAATGTCAATGAGACGTCGTTCACAGAGTTCTAGATATGAAATTGGAGCCGGGGGAATAAGAGGGCAGGTAGGAGTCATGATGTTTCCAGACTAGTGATAAGTAATATAACATTTAAATCCTTGAAATTTCCCCTGTAAGTTTGCCGCAGAAAGTGTGTAAAAATATGGAAACCGTAACGGTAAAGAGACAACGAAATTTGTTAGGAACACAGAGATGCACCCTATGGAGGGGTACAGAGTAGCTAAAGGGTAAAATCTCAATTAACCTGAGGCCCACTTTACAGTATTAGGAATCTTCTCCAAGAAGTATTATGCCGTAAGAGAGGAGATAAAGTTTCTAAATCTTTGTTAAATAGTGACTGGAGGCAAAAAGTATTTTGACTGGAAGCTTTGGATAGAAAAAAGAGTAAAGATGAGCTCAAACCATCCAGCATCATCGGGGCTGCAAGTGGCCTTGACCTGCAGGAACAAACTGTCAGAAAGAAAACGGGTCTAGGAAAAGGCGAGGTGCGCCTGAGTCAAGGCTCCAGGGCTCAGCAGGAAAGGGGACCCCTTAAGTTTTAAGCTGTGAGCCCAGCCCTCCCCGCACTGAGGCTTAAAGTTAAGGTCGCGCCCCAGCACCCCCGCCAGCGCCCTGCATCCCAGCTCACCGAAGTCCAGCAGCTGCTTCATAGACAGCGGGGACGGGCTGTAGCGCGAAAAATGCTCGACCTCGCGGGGCACTAGGCTGGCGCCGCTCAGCGAGCCGGCGCTACGCATCACGAAGCGGGCAGCCTTCATCTTGATGCCCACCCGGCTTGGAGGGGCTGGGGCTGGCTTGAAGGGAGAAGGCTGCGGGGAGCAGAGCCTGGGCTCGAGGATGGGGCGAACAGGCCGGTGTGCTGGCGGGCTTGTGCACTCCGGTCGGGGCTGCTTCGGGATAGAGGAGTCCGCGGGTGAGTCGGAAGAGCGGCGAGTAGCTGAAACTCAGACTTGCGTCTTGCCACCACTTGGCCCCCTCGCGTAGTTTTATTCATTTCCCCCTACCCTCCCCCCGAACCCCAACGGGGAGGAGTCTCTGAGACTAGGAGGCGCGTCCGGGACTTGGGGCGGTGCCAATCAGAACTTTGGGCCCCGCCCCGGCCGCGGTCCCCGCCGAGAGACCTGGCCCGGTGACCGCGGTGTGGCCTCGCACCAGTGCCCGCGGCTGTGAGGAGAGTGCGGTTGGGAGGAAGCCGAACGGGACACATCTGGAGGTACTCTGGGCTCTAGGTCAACCACTTGGCACGGGACCGCTGATCGCGTGGGCTGGGGCCCGCTCAGACTCGTCCTTGTTTACAAGTAAGGGGCTCTCCCAATGTCACGCATTCCTGGCCGGAAAGTATTTCCAAGAATCTAGGCGCCGGGTGTCATTGGTTCTTGCTCAGAGAGGACTTTTACAGTAGCCAATCAGCTGCGTCCAAAGTCTGAGCTTTTCTACGATTGGACAGCGAGAGAAACAAACAGCCTAGAGTTCTCCCAGTGTTTTCTGTAGCAGAGAACAGCACATGTCAGGAACTAGAAGTTCTTTCTGCGGAGACTTAAGGAGCTTCCCAGAATACATGTACTTTCCTTGTTGCCATAAAAGGCCATCAATTTGTTTCTCTCCAGTAGGTTTAAATCTGTTAATTAAAAATACTATTAAAAAGGGATCAGTTTGTCAGTTTGACTCACTCTCTTTTTCTCTTATCAGAGCATTTGCTCTCTCTGCAGCCCTGTATACAATGCCCTTAATCCAAGGCTTTGCCTAAGACATTCTTTTCAACCTTTAAATGTGCAGCACAAACTGTGTGCTGCTAGAAATCTTTCTTGATTCCCTCTCCTTCCTCCTTCCAAATACGGTCTTTGTCCCTTATGACATTATATTGAACAATTTATGTTCCTTTCTGAATCCCCTCCCCTGAAAGAGATCAGGGCTGGAACAATGCCTGAATCATCTCTGTGATTCCTACGCAACTTTGTCGCTACTCAAGCTTACACAAACTGTGGAAAGATGGGAGAAGTTCCAAATTGTATCTAATAGGTTTGGATACCACTATGATTTTTATTTTTGTACTCTGAATCCTTTATTACACATTTGCCAAGCTGGATGAAGTTGGGAAAAATTTGTTTGAGAGGCCAAAAAGCTAAATAAAACTCTCTCTGATGAAGTATATTTAAAGTAAAAAAAAAAATCCCTTCTTTTTCCTGGATTACATCCTAAGATCAAAAGTAAAAGAAAAGCAGGCATTTGCTTTTCTACTGTGTGTGTGGGATCAGGAATAGCAAAAATACGTTATAAAGAATTATAGTCTTCAATCTGCAGAGGAGGAGCAATGTAAATGATGCATGATAGCCAGGTCTAGTTTAGGAAAGCCCCAGTAAGTGTGCTCTCTGCCTGACTTTTCTAGCACTTCTCCCCAGTGTGTTGCAGGATGATTAAAGATCAGGTGAAGTCACATGGTGTTCACAGAGATGGCTAAGGGTTAAATTGAACTGAGGTCACCAGACATTTGTCTCCATGTCGCCATTCTAATATTTAGCAGATTACTCTCACAGTGCATTACATTCTTCTATGTCATTTCTCTGTGATAGGAATCGTTATAATTGGCAACGTTATGGTACCTGGGCTGGAGTAGCCAAGTAAAGTTGTTTACACAGTTGGCTAAGAGGCTATGTATTTCCATGATTACAGAGTGACTGGAAAGAGAGTGGCACTTCTATTCTCAGGCTGACCACAGATCTTGGAGGTGACTCAGTTATCGGAAGTAGAGCAAAGGGAATTATCTGGGGTCAATGGGTACAGACAAATCTGTGCATTCATTTGAGTAAAGGTAAACTAAAGAAGACTATCAAAGGATTTTGTGCTAATAGAGAGGGAAGGGTACCACATTTCTCCCTGTCAGTGCTGAGCACAGCATCCCTGCTGCAAGCCCCTGATTCCTGAAGTTTTCAGGGGCTATCCTAACAAGCATTTTGTGAATTCTATCCAGCTTGCCTGGAAAAATCTGACAACAAAAGGCTGCTGGTAGAGCTTTAAGAATGCAAGTCACGCTTTTGCAAGAGGGCTGGGCAGGTCCAATTTGACAAAGTGAATCAAGACCCTTGAAGAGATGCCTATTCAATTTTTTCACCTGTAGGGACATGTTCCAAGGAGACAATTTCAGGTCTACCTTGGAGACCTTGAAGCTTCAGTTCCAGACCATGGCAATAAAGTGAAGATCATAATAAAGCATTTTAGTCTATTAAATGTCCAATAGCATTATGTCTAAGGAAAAACTTTCTTTAAATTAATTAAAACAATGTTTCATACATACATACTTTGTTGCTGCAAATCGTTATCATCTGAGTTTTCAGCAAGTCATAATCACTGATCACAGATCACCATAACAAATAGTAATAAAGAAGGCTGAACTATTTCAAAAATTAGCAAATGTGACCCAGAGATACATGTGGTTCCATTGTGTCTCTACTGACTTCATGTGGAGACCACTATAAACCAGTAAGTTGTAGCCCTGATGGCAACTGCTCTATGAGACACGGTGTTTTTGCTAGAGTAGATGAATATGGCCAAAGAACATGTTTTACAGGTGCTGACTTGATGAGTGTATGCTTTTATTTCTACCAAACAAACAAACAAGAACCCTAAAAACAAACAAAAACCCAAAACCTCTTGCACTCCTATCTCAGCATCTGCTTACCAGGGGACCTAGACTAACATCTGTACTAGAAAACTGTCCTCTGTGTTTTATTAATTGTAAAAAGCATGTCACAGACCAACATGTATATAGTATAGTCCAATTTTTATTTACAAAACAAAAAAAGAAAGACTGTATATGTGAATATGGGTTGATAAATGCATGTAAAGAGTCTGGAAAGGAACCACACCAAACAATCATGGTATTGGAAGTGTGTGGCAGAAGGAACTCTCACTTGTTTCTTTATACTTCCATATTATATTCTCCATGGTATGTGACTCCCTGCTTTATACACTAAAGCCAGTAGTAGATCTTGACTAATGAACAGTGTATGGAATATGCTGCTCTGGGATAGGTCGTTCCCCATCACTTATTTGCCCTTGTTTATCTCATTACTTGAGGACACCATCTCTCATGCACCCTTTTAAGTGTAGGCAGCTTCTCTCCTCAACTCAAAGTCTTTCATGGCCTGCAGGTGAGATGGGTGTCCTCCTCCTTCCACACCTTACTGGTTACCTCTGTGCACTCAAACCATTCCTCCCCCATTCTCCTTTAAAAGCACAGGAACTTTGAACATAAGGCAGCAGACAATATCACTAACTACTGCATTTTATCACTGCCCTTTTGTGGAGTACCTGGCCACTTCCTTAACAGTATGATACTGTTATTATTCTTGTTGACTTCAGCCTTAATGTGAAAGATCTGTCTGCACTTCCACCCCTCAATTCATCAATCTCTTCTCTCTTCACCTTATCAATAGCTCTCTACAGTCCACCTCAGCTACCCATTCCCATGATCATACCTTAGAACTTGCCTTCACAAGTAATACCACCATCTCCAAAACACCAAAAACATCTCCCTGTGTACCATTTCTCATGCTCCTAGAGTATTTGACCCAACTATCATCTCACATGCAATACCTCAAACTCACTGACATTCCCGTTTTGCCCTCCTTTATTCCTCTATGTCTCCTCTCATTCAGTGTGAACTCCATGGTCCAGCACCATAATTATACTCCTGGGAAAACTCTTAACTCTCTCTGTTTCACTCACTTAGTGAATCAACCCTAATTAACTCATTGTAAATATATAGAGTGGGTACAAATTCCAGTCCATAAATGAAAATAATGCAAGAGTTGACATTTTCTTTTCTTTTCTTTTCTTTTCCTAAAAGTCAGTTTAATGTCTATTCTAAGACCCCCTGGTTAATATGAGATTTTTACCATTCTTTCTGCTGGGGCTGCATTCGTGTTTCCAGGAACTCATAGAAGCCCAAAGTATCAGGATAGGTGGACATCTAGTGTTTGGTGTCCTCTAGCCATACTAGCACCCGTTAAAGTCTTTCTTATTAAATCTGGTCCTAGATTGCTGGTTAATGCAAATTGCTGCTCCATCATCCCTCATTCCTATTCAAAAGACCTGGTTGGGTCTGTTTCTCTCCTTTTCTCTGCACCCCTGTCTGTTCTTGGGTAATGTGGACAGCATTTTATTCTGACGCATACTTGACCATAGTCGCAGTCCCCATCCTCCTCAGTAACTCTTTGTCTTAACTGTATCTACAGTGGGCCACAGGAAACTCTAAAAGCCTGAATCAGGCCTGTCTGCTTGATCCCATTTCTACTCTTGCTCTGTTCCTATAGAAATGAGTTTCAAAGACCTAGGTCGTGAGGAAGTTTAGTGCATAGTATATGTGCAATAAATCACATCAAGGGTCCCACTATTACCTCTCAAATAATAAGAAATTCTATGGTTTTGGAGATGCAAAAGACAATAAAAGTTGAAGGAAACTTGACAACTCAGATGAACCCTAAGAGAGGGTTAGTGGATGGATCACAGAAACCATACATAGTTTCTGTGAGTTGGAGAAAAAAGAAAACATGTATCTCAATTCCTCAGTAAAGCAGATCTCCCAAACTTGCATAAGTATTTTTGCCTTTTATGAGTCATGGTCCAGCTACCCAAATGAAAGAGGGGGTCCTTTGGTAATAAGAAATATTAATGGAAAACATACATGGTTAATATTTTAAATATTTTAAATATTATATGAACATATGTATAAGCATATATTATATGAGCATATGTATAAGGAAAATACCCCAGTACATCCAAGGGTGGTTAGAATTACCAGTATTACTACATTTGCTTTTCTTGTGCTTTTCCAAATGTTAAAAAAGAAAGCATGTGTATAATAAGGAAAATAAATATGATTTTAAAAGTCAAAATGAAATAGAAGTAAAAAAATAGGCAGAAAGATTTGGCAAATATCTGTTCAAAATAGGCTTCTGACCGAATTGGAAGGCAAAATGAGGACAGGGCACTGGGTCAGGCTCTCCTGCTTTCTATTTCTTACCCCCTTGGGCATAACAAGAGGTGCGGAGACTCCAGGACTGAGAAACCCACAAACAGCCCATTCTTTCCCTTATCATCCTGTCCATTGTCTTCTGTGGACTGACACTGAGATTCAGTCAGCTGAAAGTTGCCCCCATTTCTATGACTGGTTCCTTTTCTCTGATTGCTGATTGTTGCCTAAATTTCCTGAGA